CAGTATTTCCCCTGCCCTCCCCTCCCCTCCCTCCACCCCTCCCCCCATCTTTAAGATGCATAGCTTTAATATTAGTTTATCAGAAAGATTACCCTGACTACAAATCCTGCCTCCTCTGATATTGGAGATGGTAGAGGGGGAAAAAAAAAGGGGTGACGAGCTGCCTGCTTCAGCCCCAGTACAGTCAGGGATTTCCATGCACTGGACAAATTTTCAGGTGCTCCATTTTAGCAGTTCTCCAAGTCCTTTGTACCAAGAGGCCACCATTATTAACATAATAAATATGGCTTTAGCATCAAAAGAAAGTGATAGTTCTCTTCCTGATGACAGGTAGTATCATTTGTCATTTTCAACAATGTGTGGCCCTCCAAGAATAACACAGTATAGCACCAGTCTTCAGACTGTCACCTACATTGACCTCAGGAAAGCAATATCCCCCCCCCCCCCCCCTCCCCCCTGGTGTAGTTTAGGCTTCTTGCCAGACATATTTTCAAGTTTTCTTACTGTGTACAATGGACACACTTTGAGTAGGCCTCTCTCTTCAGGCTGCTTCTGTAACTCCCACTTGACAGTATTGGGGATTGAATTGTAAACTCTTAAGTGAACAGGATCTGTAAATTAGCCCACTCAATTTGTTAAGCTCCTGTGTCAGCATCCCTACTTCAAAAACTTCTAATTTTCAGTTTTGGAAAATTAATGTATTTGGTCTGTATTGTACGATTCTGGCTCATGATCGTATCTCTCCATCTCGTACATGATGGATGTGCAACACAGGCCTTACGCTGCAAATATATTACTTGACAACTGAAACATGCATAAATATAACAAATAGCATAACAGCGTACACAAATCAATTAAACTGTACCCAGCTTGCAGTGTTAAAACCTTGTTCTGTTTGCAGACAGAATTTCTTGATCATTAAGTACAGGGTCTCCCTCTGATCCTCTGAGACCCTGTTTTCCTCCTCCCCACTCCTAAAAATATAACCCAAACAGGAGATGTTGCTGTAGACCTTCATTCATTTTAATAGCCAATCAAGCCTGCTTGTATTTAAAAAGTGACATTATAAAATATTCTGTTCTAGTTCTCTACAACTTGAAAGATTTTTCTGATTCAATTGCTGAATGTGACAAAAAAAAAAAATCAAAATAATAAATCTCTTGAATTATAGTAACATAGCTCATCATTAGCTCCACAAATCTTTTGTAAAGTCTACCTTGTCATTTCAGAAATTCTGAGTTTGACCTAGTCATTGGAGCTGTTACTATGCCAATGACTGAAACCTGATACGTGGAAAAATTATCCAGCATTTATGATAGATACTGGTATTTCAATCCAGGCTCCCAGACGATGAATTAGATTCTTAATAAGCATACACAGCACAGTTAAATTTAGAAGAAGAATTTTAACTAGTTGCCAAGTTTTCATCTGAAGGTCATTTATAGATTTTTTCCCCTAGCGTAAAGTAGACAGACCTCACTAGCCCTTCAGCTTGTGCATATTTCTGTGTGTAACTTTTAAAAACATCATTTCTTGTATTAATCTCATACTGAATAATTTAGTGAAGACAAGTTATTCATGGACAAGAATACCAAAATTATTCAATAAGCTGCCAGCACCGTATCTTTTAAAATAGTTCTGTTTTCATTAACAGATAAAATAAAACGTACGTACAAGATTATTATTACTTGGCTTTGTTTTGTTAGAAGAAACAAAACAAGAAAATGTCAACCAGCCTCATAGATTTTCTCATCTCTTCTCATGTGTGTGACTACATACATAAATCCATAAAAATAATAGTAAGCGTTAACAGCATGAGACAGCAAGATCGAGATAATCTGCACTGTAGAAAAACAAAACATGGCTGTATGGCTATGTGTTCTGAAGCCTGCTAAATATTATATCACACCACAATTTAAGATGCCCGAGGGCTTCACAATTTTAATTGCATTTTAATGATGGCAACTCTGTTCCATTATGCTCTCTGTTCTTTTCAGAGAAAAAGCACTTCAGACTTTAAAACCATATTGAGGTTCTTTCCACCTTCAATACAGATGGGTATGATGGGTGTATCCAAAATTCTGATATTAGAGAGTTTGGGGTGAATGAAGACTGGATGAACATAAGCGTTATGTATCTAAATTATATATAAAAAGGAATAAAAAACTAGAAGGCAATATCACAACAAAAAGGCACATACTCAGAATTTTAAAAAAAAGATGACATACATTTCTATTTGAGTATTGTATCTTTATGCTATTTGTCTCTAAATACCCATAAAAGCTGTTATGTGTAACCTGGAAAAGACTGGCTGTCCACCAAAACTCCTCAGCATAATTTGCCCTTTCCATGATGGAACATGGGAAACAGTCAGGTAGGATGAATCAACACCTGAGGCTTTTGAGATTTGAAGTGGAATCAAGCAGCGCTGTGTCCCTGCCCCAATCCTGTTCAGGATTTTATTTTCTCTTCTTCTGCTGTATGCTTTTGGGACCACCACTGAAGGAATTGAGCTGCATACACGCTCAGGCAGAAAATTATTCAACCTCACACACAGTGAGGAAACTTTTGATTCATGAGCTGCTGTTTGCTGATGATGCTTCATGGATAGCCCACACGGGAAGTGACCTACACAGCCTCATCAGTGACTCCACACATGCCTTACAATCAAATCAAGACCACCAGTGTTATGGCCCAGAAAACATTGATTCACCACTAGTGATCACAATAGGTTAAATCTTACTGGATGTTGTAAGTAAATTCATTTACCTTGGCTCCATTGTTACCAACAGCCTGTCACTTGAGGCTGAACTGAATACCTGTATTTGCAAAGCATCAGGTAATGTGAGCATGCCGAGAACATGAGGGTGGAACAACAGACTGACTGTTAAGATTGAGGTCAAAATAGATCATGTCTACATCATCAACACCCCCTCCCCTTTTTTTTTTTTTTTTTTT